GGCAGGCTCGGTGCAGCTCGACGACGGTGTCAGCGGGGGCGCTCGCAGCAACTCCTCGAATGTGAGAAGCGATGGAATCTGTAGCAGGGTGCGCACATCACTCACGAAAGCGTCAAGGAGGCGCTGAGTTTCCGGACGCAGCTGAAAATCCGCCCAGGCTCGGCCCACAGCTTCCCTCCAGACTTGTCGCAAAGCTCCTGCAGGCGCTCAAAGAAGCTTCTGAGGGTTTCCTCGTTCATCGCGGCCGTACGAATGGTTTCGATCGAGTGTGCAGTGATCCAGCGGAGTTCGTCGGAAAACTCGGCGAAAAACCGCTCCAAAAACGACTCGCTCGGGCCGTTGGGACCGAACTGGCGGCGAGGCTTTCCATCTGGTCGTGGAGCTTGAGACAGGCGCATGAAGAGTTCGATTGTATCGGGTTTGGTGAGGGCGACGTGAGCAAATGCGCTCCGAACAAGGTAGTTGACGATCTTGAGCTCCTCCGACCGGAGGAAGACGTTGTGGTCCCCCGGGACGGCGTCATCCTGAACTAGATCAACTGCCTGATCGAGGGTAGAACGGGCGAAGAGATCGGCTTGATGGCGGTGATGCGCGATCCAGTTGCCGACAGTAGATCGCGGGACCTCGAAAATCGCCGCCAGCTGCCTGATGGACGGTTTCGTCTCCTTGGCTCCCGCGCCACCTGGTCCACTGATGTCAGCACATGGTGTAAAGTAGGTTTTCAGCACGGCGGCCTTGAAAAAGCGAGGAGAGTCGGCGTCCTTGGCCTGTCTAGCCTCCCGCAGCAGGTCGAAGGCCCGCTCGTTCCGCGGACTGACGACTCCGCCCGGTGTGCCCAGTGGGTTCATCAGATGCTATTTAGTGGATATCCGCAAGGAGGGGGTAGCAGAACAAGACTCAGAGCCCAAGAACGCCTCTGTCCCGTTGTAGGAGGGCGACAAAAATCAAAATGACTGGAAATGCATTATGTCCCGTTGTAGGAGGGTTCTCTCTATTCATTCTGCAAATCCGAATTCGGATTGGACCTCAAGGGCTCAGTCGCGATACTGAACTGGCGGGTGCTACGATGTGCACTCGTCGGCTACTGATCTGCGCCAGAGCAAAACACAACTGCAACAGCACTTTTTTCATTTTATATGAAATAGCGCGGGAAACAGCAACTCTTTTTCGAATCAGTCTTTTCCTGTTTTTTCGCTCAATGTGTTTGTTGTACATTTGAACGCCTTCCCTTCCTTGAAAGGGACTGAGGTGGGGCGAGCGTGAAGGAAAGCGAAGGGAAAAGGCGGGAAAAACCCTGTCCTTTTGTTCGTTCGCTCGCTCTTCGCTCTTGCTCCACCGCCTCGCCTGAGCGCTCAGCATGAAGACATCGAACATGCTTCCGCTGTTTGAGTCCTGCGCGGCTTCGCGTGCTGCGGATGCGCGGCGTGGTGAGAACAAAAACAAAGCGATCGCTTTTTTTTTTTCGTTCTTGCTTTGTCTCTCCATTGTGCCTGGTGCCTGGATCTGATGCGGTCGTGCAAGCGGCTGCTGTACTTCCTTCTCGATACGGATCTGGCATTTGTTGCAATCCCACAACAAGCAAACCAAGGCAAGAAGAGGGATGATCGCTGGTAAGTCACCCTCGTCCGCCATGTGCTCGCCATGTGCTTTCACTCCATCAGTCTCTCTTCTCCTTTCCTTTTGACGCTCCTTCCACTCTTCTCTTGCTTTTTTGTGATGATAAGTCATTCGGATTTAACTGGCAGTCGATTCTGACTGATCAACCGAGACCAAAATAGCTTCAATCGCTGTCTGATCCTCTTTCCGCCTTCTTCATGCATTCTCCATTGATTCAACTTGTATTGGTTTAGCTTTTGAATCTCACTTTCCTCTCGTCTTTGTCTTGTAGATAATCAGGTAAGTTGTAACTTCAAAGTGAAGCCCGGTGCTGTTCGAAAAGGCGCATCTCTCGAGGTAACTTTCGACTTCCACTTCATTCTCCCACTTCTCCTCTCTCGCTCTTTTGAAACACGGTGGTGGTGGATGAAACCATACCTGCCTCAGAGTCCTCGATTCTTCGTCTTGGAACGGTGCTGATATGCAGAAATTACAAATATCAAGCTCAACAGGTCTGACACCACTTTGTTTCACTTTTTTTTTTCCTCTCTCTCTCTCTCTCTCTCTCTCTTTCTACCCGTTTCCTCACATTCACCTTCCAACATTGCTTTGCTTGTTGTCAGTTTTGATTCTCACGTGTCGTTTATTGCTTCTTCTCTCGTCTTTGTAGGTAAATTTCAACACACCACCATTTCAATCCTGTCCCTTCTTTTCAACAGCCAGACGGAAGTTCATTGTGAACGTCAGTGACGACGCATCTTTGTTTTGCTAATTCGCAGACTGGGTTGTGGGGAGATGGGCAGCGTTCGGTCTATGAGACACCCCGGAGCATTGTGGCTTTAGCACCTTTTGGGGCGACCTTGGTCGTCCTTTTTGGAGCGCCTGGCGGCCGGGTGCCTTGTCTCTGACTGTGGCGTTCTCGTCTCTGCCGTGGTGGCCATTCTTTTGCTTCTCTCATGAGAGCCATCTCTTTTGGGGGAAGAAAGCATTTCCATTCACAACCACACTCGGTCGATGACATACAACCGCAGGGGCCTGTTGCTTGCGCGTGTTTCCGTCTTTTTAGATGGAGGTGTGTGCGAGCGGTGGGTTCTGAGACGCCCCATTCTTCTGGCCTTCTCTCTCCTCATCAAACTCCTTGTCTTTTTATTTTGGCGTTGGCTATTCTTTCTTTTTCTCACTGCAGCCTTCAACTGCTGGTCGTTTGTGTCACTCGACTTCACAAACAGAAATGTGGACCGGCCGTGACCATCTACTGAATGGTGAGACATGTGCAGTCGTCTTGTGTGCAAAAACAACAAAAAATCAAAAATACAGTATTAAAAGTCGAAAAATCTCCATTTTTCATTCGTTTCCCTCTCCATTGCTCAAACTGAAACTTGCGTCATATGCACGCGCTGATTGAAGGATGCAGCGTCGCGGTCGCGTGAAGCCTTGTCGCCGACAAAGTCATAGACGAGCGCGCGCAAATGGAGAACTGCAGCAACGTCGCTGAGCGTCCCTGCCAGTCGGAAGGCCGCAAGCGCCTCTGTCAACAATGGTAGCACGTCGAGGAGGGCGCGACGGCCAGTCTCGGTCAGGTCGATCTTGAAAGCCGGTGCATCTTCATTCAGCGGAAGCGCAAGAGCCTCCAGCGGCACGCACGCGCTCAGAGCGAGTTGAACGCGACACTTGGCCATGATAAATTGGGCATGTGCTCGTTGCTCCATCGTGCCATTCTGCAGCACCCACGGCAAGCACCGTTGAACATGATAAAGTGCGGCGCTCGGCGCGTCCGTTCGCAACAAACACCTGGCCAGCAAGAACAGCGCATCAGCATGGATGCTTGGCACATGATGCTTGTCGCACAATTCGAGCGCTCGTGCAAGCTCTTCGATCGCTTGCCAGGTGTTGCCCGCAGCCAGGCAGACGTGCGCGCGATCCATCCAGACCCGAATGTCGCGGACGTGGTTTGGCTCAGTCAGGCTCAACGTCGGAACGGACGTAACAGATGTGTTTGCTTGCTGCTGGAACTGGGTGAGTACAGCGTCTGGAACAAGCAAACAACAGCAAAAAAAAAACCCAAAAAAAAAGAAATGCCAGATTAGTCTCCCCGTTTGTTTTTCCTTCTTCTCTGAAACACAAAATCACGAGCCCAAACAAACCAACGTACTAAAGTCATCCCACCGCTTGGAGGGGTGATAGAACTTGGGCAACGTCAAAGTGGCACGGGTGGATGCTTGGCTGTTGTGGGCACTCACGACCGCCCTGCGCGCGTACGCCCATTGACCAGCCTCCATCAACAGGCCACGACGCCGTTGCTCGCTGTCTGTGGCCCGCGTCGACGCTCTGGTCGACTCAAGACCATGGATTCGCTCGAGCGCCACAGAGGCACTCCAAACGTCGCCCGCGGATCGCGCCTTGGTCATCAGCATGGTTTCCTGAATCAGATTCGACGCGCGGATCAGCTGAGTGGGTTCGTGTAGCGTCGTGTCCGAGTAGGATGAGTGCACATGCGTCAACAGTTGCAATGCACCCGCCCGATCAGCAGTCCGAAGCACGTGCGAGAGAGCCAAGTGGCACGCTGCGTCGAGGGCATCCGCCAGCGGCACCGTTCTGGATGATGATGATGCAGCGACACCGGCAACCGAGGACACGGCCGGACTGTGCCGACTTTGCGACAGGAGCATCTGATCAAAAGTGTCGGCGAGTGCCGAGTTGCCCAGCAGCCTCCACGTCGCCGCCTGGAATTGCATCGTGAGCGCAGGAGCGTCCAAAATGGTGCTCGACTCGCGGTATGTGAGAGAATGCGCAGACTGGGCCAGAGCGATGGCCTGACGCGTGTTGGCGGCGCTCGCGCCGACGGCCTGCTGGGACTTTCGTGCATAGGTGAGGACTTCGAGCGCTTGGGTGTACGCCTCGCGATGTTCGGGCGCAGAGTTCATCTTGGCCTCTGCCGCAGCCAGTGCTGCCTGGAGTTGTTGGAGCTGCTCTTGCTGCGTACCACCCGCAATGGAGGATTTATCCACCTTGGTCGCGTTGGAACGGTACATGGCAGCCCCGAAACGAGCCTCGACAGATTCGCCAAGCGGCTGCCCAGAGAACAAGACATGCTGTGCTCCTGCGATGCGCGCTTGGCAGGCGCTTGCAACGCTTCCGGCTGCGTCGGCACGATCAATCCAGCGAGTGATGAGTGGCATGGTCGAGTCGCGCACGGCGCTTTCGGAGGCCATCGCCTCATGCAATCGGACGCTCCAAGCCAACAAGTCGAGCAATGCCCCTTCTGCCTTGAGCTGTTGGGCGAGTCGAATGGCTTCCGCAATGGACGCGCGTGCTTTGGCAAAATGGCCAAATCTAGATTTCGGACAGCAAAGTTTTTGTGGTTGTTGTTGTCAGTGGCAAGCAAATCAATGGCACAAACTTCTCGTTGCAAAAAGCCTTCGGTTACGTGTAATGAATGGCGGCTTTGGTCATGCAGGCAAAGCTCTTGGTGGACGCAGATTCGGTTGGTGTGGCGTTACGTCCGAGGTACCACGAGCGGAAAACGTCCTCGCTTCCTCGCGAATCAAAGTAATTGTGCGCAAAGTCCATGGCTCCAGCGTATTCTCCCACGCGCAAGTTATTGAGAAATAGAAGATAGAGTGCACTAGCAGCAAGAGGAACGCACTGACCAGCCAAATGTGTGTGAGAGTGAGAAGTTGTGACTTCTTCCAGCCGCAAACAAAAACAACGACGAGCTGGCAGTACCTTCAAGATTGTGTTGGCGCGCTCGTGGACGCTCGCAACGTCACGATGCCCCGACATGATGGCGTCCATTTCGGCTTTTACCAACAGTTGGGCATGCTGCAAGCCGGCAACTTGCAGCTTTCCGGTTTGGGGGGACTGCGCGGAATCGAGTTGGAATGACCGGATGCCGCCATCCCGCACTACCTCGTCTCGCCATTGCTCGACATACGCTTGGGTTTCTTCTAGCAACGGCGTGGCCGATTCAAACGGGAGGACACTGATAATGTGCAAATGCAATCGCACAAACACGCCTGGTTGCAACAAACACGTCAAGTGAGAAATACTCGGCTGAGGTTTGATGAGCACTGCAACGACCATCGTACCAAGAATCGAAGAGGGTGGAAGAAAGGAAGGTCCGTCTTGTCTGTACAGCTGCTGTTGCAAGGTTGTGAAAAACTCGAGAAAGTGGACTTCCGATTGTAGAATTGTAAAGAGCTGCAACAACGCGCCAACGCGACGAGCACAAGGGCAAAGTGAGCAAACTCCACCGACAGCACATACTTCAAAGAACAACAACGCAGCAGAATAGCAGTGGCTCGCGTTACACGAAGAAGAACTGTCGGATAGATTTCAGGATCGTCGCTGAGACAAGATAACAGGCGTGATAACGGAAGCTGGTCTGGCAAATGAGCATACTGATTCACGAGCTGTGGTATTGTTTGTTGGAGTGAGTTGAGACACGGAATGCACAACAGAGAGTCGAACAACTTCGGGACAGAAAAGCGCGGGAAAAAGCAGGACGAAACGGCCTGAAACCCAGCAATGAAACAACCAAACCTCCCTCCCCTCCGTCTTTCTTTGGCGTCGCACCTCATAGCAAGCACGGATCCTGCTCTGAGGAATGGCCTGGGTCTTGAGGAAGGTCGGCAGCGGGGTGTCTGGAAGTGCCAGGCGCTGGATCTCGTCGTCCAGGCGGAAGAGCGGCTCGCCAAGAGTGAACCAGGCGCGGCAGTCCACGCCGCCCATGCTCAGTGCAATATCTGCGCTATCATCGCGCAGCTGATGCACGTGGATGCCGAGCGGGAGGATGCTGTCTTCGGCGTCTGGATTGTCAAAGTACCAAGCCAGAATGCTCAGCAGCGCGACCTAAAACGAAGCGAGAGGCGGGGGGGGGGTGTCATCATGATGAGAAGGATGATCACGACAGAGCATAGAGCGAACATTGATGCACAGATCGGCGGCGGTGGTGGTGGAAGGGTGGGGATCGGTTGAGGCACGCACCTTGGGTCCATTGAGCGTCAATGGAAGCGCTGACATTTTGCTCAGCTCTGAAGAACGGGAAATGGACGACTGAGAGTATCCTGTATGTATACATGCACACTAAACGACAGCATTCACGTTTGCGTTTATTGCGGGGGACCATTTTTTCACGTTTCAAACAAATCCTCAATTCCCAGAGGAAACAATCTTCTCGCCTCTGTCCCAACTCCCTGCCCTTGGACTTTTTTGTTTCACTGTTTCCAATGCACTAGATTCTACTTGGGAAGAAGCTCGTTGCGCTTGGCAATCAGGTCACCAACAACCTGAGGCTCGGAGAGCGTGGAAGTGTCGCCGAGATCTTCCGTGTTGCCCGCGGCAATCTTGCGAAGAATGCGACGCATCACCTTGCCAGAGCGGGTTTTCGGCAGACCAGTGAGTGCAAAGTGAATGACGTCGGGTGAGGCAAATCCGCCAATCTCCTTGCGGACAATCTGTCGCAGCTCGTTTTGCAGCGCCTCCGCGTCAGTGCTCTTGTGGGTGTCCTTCAGATTGACAAAGCAGTAGATGCCTTCGCCCTTGATCGCGTGCGGGAAGCCTACCACTGCAGCTTCCGCCACGGCAGGATGCGTTTGCTGCAATGGGAACGGGAGTGAATGCTTGTGAGATTTTTGTGGAACACCAAAAACCATTTCCACTAACCACTTCCAATACTCGCACTTACAAGAGCATTCTCAACCTCAGCCGTTCCAAGACGGTGGCCGCTGACGTTAATCACATCATCAACGCGACCGGTAATCCAAATGTGACCATCCTTGTCACGACGAGCACCATCGCCCGTAATGTAGTAGCCTGGTGTGATTCAACGAGAAACGTGAGCAACACTGGAGCACTTGCCAACCAACGACTCGCGCATCAAACACGGAACAAGTACCTTTGTGGGGACGGAAGTACGTGTCGACATAGCGCTGATGGTCTTTGAACACGGTGCGCGCCATGCCAGGCGTTGCAGCTTTCAGAGCGAGGGCGCCAGACACATCAACGCCTTGGATTTCGGCGCCTTGCGCGTCGAGGAGCACGGGAACTACACCGGGCAGCGGATGCATGGCGGCACCCGCCTTGCCCAGCGTCTGAAGGCGCGGTGCAATCATGATGCCGCCCGTCTCCGTCTGCCACCAGGTATCGGCGATATGGGCCTTGCCGCCGCCGACCACGTCCTTGTACCATTGCCAGGCATCGGCGTTGATGGGTTCGCCCACGCTGCCAAGAATGGAGAGCCGTTTGAGTTTGTGGCGGTGGACGTGCTTGTTGCCAGCCTTGATCAGGGTGCGAAGTGCCGTCGGAGAGGTGTAGAACTTGGAAATCTCGTGACGGTGCACAACATCCCAGTAGCGGCTCGGCGTCGGGAAGGTGGGCGTGCTCTCAAACAGGAGGGTGCCGACGCCCAGCGTGAGCGGACCGTACACGACGTACGAGTGTCCCGTAATCCAGCCGCAGTCAGCAAAGCAACCAAACGGATCGCTGTCGTACTTGTGAATGTCAAAGACGGTCTGGCAAAGGGTTTTCAAGGAGTGGCAAACCATGAGCGCATGAAACAGCGACAACTTTACAACAAGTGCGTGCGAGCGGCGAGGGGACAAACCTGAAGCGTCATGGCAGTGTAAGTCAAATAGCCGCCAGTGGTGTGAACCAGGCCCTTGGGCTTGCCGGTGGATCCACTCGTGTAGAGCAAAAACAGGGGATCTTCCGCCCCCATGCTTTCGGCGTTGCAAACAGGGCTGGCGGCCGCCATCTCGTCCTCGACGAAAACATCGCGACCACTCTGCATCGGCACGTCGCGCGCAACACGGGAGAACGTCAGCACGGATTCCACCTGTGGAAGGTCCTTGATGGCGGCGTCCAGAGTCTTTTTCAGCGGGATGATCTTGCCGGCGCGGATGCTGTTGTCCGCCGTGATGACAACCTTGCTTTCAGCTGCGTGATGGGAGGCAGAGACATGAGCACTTTCCGGGATGCCTGGGCAAAAAAAAAAAAAAAAAAAAAAAAAACGAAACCGGCATGCTTACCATCCTCAATTCGAGAACGCACGGCAGTGTCGCTGAAGCCGGCAAATACCACACTGTGGACAGCTCCGATGCGGGCGCAGGCCAGCATGCTGTACACAATGGCAGGCATCATGGGCAGGTAAATCGTCACGCGATCGCCGCGCTTGACACCGTGCGCCTTGAGAACGTTGGCCAAGCGATTGACATTGTCGGAGAGCTGCTGGAAGGTGATTTTCTGCGCATGGTCGGGATTGTCCGTTTCCCACACGAGCGCGGTGCGGTGGGCGTGTGTCGGCAAGTGGCGATCGATGCAGTTCTCTGAAAATTGAATTCGAAACACAGTCAGACCTCATCCGTCACATCCACATCAACGCGACAAGACAAATCACAAAAAAATCCCTCGGTTTCCGTTGCAATAAAAAGCAAGATCAAAAGCACAACGCCCATTTTTTGTGTACCTGATGCGTTCAGACGGCCGTCCTTAAACCACGAAACAACGCCCTCGGACAGATCGCTCTCGTCGACCTTGCTGAACGCCTTGCGCCACGTCAGTGTTTTCGCGGCATACTCGGCAAACATTTGCTGGCGCTGCGCAACCGACTGGAGGTACGTGTGGGTGACTGGCAGAATATCTCCGTGGCTCCTGCCGGCGCGTCGGCCTTTCGCCTGTTTCGGATGCGCGTCATCCAAATCCTCGACGGACTTGAGCAGCGCCTGGGACGTGCCTGCGTCTGCGATGGCGAGTCGTTTGAGGCAGGCCTTCGACAGCACCGAGTCGACCGTCGACACGGATGGCACCGAGCGAGCCGGCCGACTGGCGACGGAGGATTGGCGAGCAGCAGCGGGAGCGGCAGTCGGCGGGGCACTCGCTCCACCCGCAGCAGCAGCACCGTGCAGGCGTGCAAGCAGTGGTTGGAACGCAGCATGCAGCCGCAGCAGCAGTGGTAATGGTGGAGGCAGCAGCAGTTGCAGCGACCGAGCGAGCCGAGACGCCTGTTGTGAGTGTGAGTGTGTTTTCCCATGCAAGACATCCGACAATCCGTCAGTCATCAACGTCCGCTCATCAAAATCGATTGATGCCCCATGCATTTCGAACACTCAAACATCAGTCGAAGATGGATATTAAAGACAGAGAGGGGGGGGATTTGAGAGACGTACCGGTAGCAGCCGCAGCAGCGAGACGACCGACAGAGGCAAACATGTTATTGTATGGGTTTTTCGCCAAGACTGCTCAGACCAGAAAGCAAAGTGAATACAATAAAATAGAATTCAAAGAAAGAAGACTGATCTTGCCATCGACCGCCAAGACTTGAGCATTTATTGCTCTTGGCGAGGTCGTTGGCAAGGTCGTTGGCAAGGTCGTTGGCAAGGTCAGCCGATGGAAGCCCCACCATTGTGAATTTGTACTGTTGTACGTTGGGTGCTTTCCTGTCCGACGCCAATGTCAAAACCTCCACTCTTTTCGTAATCCCATTGACGTTGAGTGAGCGATGCGACCCGTGTTTCAAGTGCTCGGCGCTGTGCCGCCGTCCGACCCAATCGTCACCGCCGAAGAGACGCGGCTGCTGCGGCTCAACGACACGGTCTACAACGTTAAGTTTCTGCTCGTCGGGTAAACATGCAAGCAAGCAGGCCTGCTCTGTTGGCGCTGTGTCTCGGCGGTGCTCCATTTGGCAGCCGAGCGCTGTGCCGCCTCTTCGCTCGCTCGCTCACCAACCTCCGCCGCCCACGCCGTGGCACGCACCTTGGTTTCTTTGATTGGATAGGCACTCAATGACGCGCGATGGCAGACTTATCGAGGAGGACGTCCGGCTACAGCAGGAGATCCAGGTACCATTGAGTTTTTTCCCGCCAAAAATCAAAACGGTTGCAAAACCCAGCTTCTCACTTTATTTTCATCCTGATGATGCGCATCTATAGTCGGTTATTATGAATCTCGTTTCGCAGAATGGTCGAGGCGGATCGGTTCGCACAGATAGCTTTGTCGTAATGCCAGGTAACGACGCTTTCGTTGCGCTCAAAACGTCAAAGCCTCAACCGGACTTGTCTGTTTCATGATGGAAAACATGCGTGACACGTATATTGACCTTTGGCTGTTGTTTTTGCTTGGGGTTGGTCGCAGTCCGCAAAGAGTGGCCGGCGTCAAAGTCTGTCAACGTCAAGTCGCGCGACGGCAAGCTGCTGCGCGCACATCCATGGTCGTATTCGTTGTTCTTTGAGCTGATCGATCCGGCACCATTGTAAATACAAAGTTAGACGCATAGTAGGCAGCAAGGCGACGCATAGTAGGCTGCAATGCGTTTTGAGCAGGGATTTTGAGAGGAGATCCGAGCAATTTCCTTCGTTTGTGCTAGCTGAGCAAACTGCGTTGGGCTGAAGAGTCGACAATATTGCACAAGTGTTGTACAAGGGTGTATTCAAAACGAGGGGGGCATCAAAACAAAAGAATCAGAGCAACAAAAGCCGAAAACAATCCCGCAACTGTCCATGGCCCTGAATGGCGCCAATACGCAAAACCTAAACTCAATCAGCGACTTTTAGTTTTCTGCCTCTTTCTCTTGTTGAACAGGCTCGGGCTGTGGGGGCTGTTGCTGCGGCGGTGGAGACGAATCACCGCGTCGTGACAAGCGTGCCACCGACCGTCTTGGCGCTTCAGCTGCCGCAGGCGATGGAGAGCGATTTCGTCGCTGCTGAACTGGCGAGCGGGATCGAGACCGTGATGCCGACCGACGCCGAGAGGTTCGCGACCGACTTGGTGGCGAGCGAGAACGAGAACGCGAGCCAGAGCCCGATCGAGATCGTTGTGCTCGTCGCTGTGCAGGAGAACGGGAGCGGCCGCGACGCACTGGGGAGCGAGATGGAGACCGCGACCGCGACCGCGAGCGTGACGCAGAGGGCGATCGACGGCGCGCCACAGTGCTCGATTCCGAGTCGTATCGTCGTCGCTTGGATTCGTGTCGTGGAGCAGCAGATTCTCCTCGATTCGCTTCACCTGCCTCGGGGGCATCGCTCTTCTTTGAGGCGGCGTCACTGTCCTCGCTGCGACGTGAGCGACGCTCGCGGTCTTGCTCTTGCTGCTGCTGGCGACGTTCGGCATCGCGTGCATCCCGCTCTGCCAGTCGGGCCGCCCGCTCTGCCTCGCGAACCGCCCGCTGGGCTTCGTATGCAGCTTGCTGGGCCTCGCGCTGCGCAATGCGCTCTTCACGCTTGCGCTGCTGTGTTTCGGGATCGAACGCGCTTCCTTCGACGTAGCCTTCCTCGATGCCCAGCGCCGATCGCGTGCGCTCGTTCTTGGCCTGCTGTGCCGCAGCCAGCTGGTGTGTTTCTGATAGCCGCTGGTTGCCCTGCTGCTGCGGCAGCAGTGCGGCGGCCGTCTCGCTCTGCAGTTCGCTCAGCAGCTGTTCTCGCAGCTCTGCGACGCGCGACTCGATGACGGCCTCCTTGATTCTACCCCCATTCGACAACAGTCACACAAAATGAATGATTCACCAGCAAAATGTCAGCCACACACAGACAGACAGACAGAGTGAACTCTTCAATGGCAGCGCAATGAAAAGGCAACGATTTCGACTATTCTTTCAAAACGCGCACCCTTTCTCTTCGAGCTCGTCCTGGAGCGCCATGCAGCGGACTTCGACCTGTCGCTTGCGCTCGTGAGCGAGGATTTCGGCGTTTGGCTCGCGGTGGAGGTCGCGGTCGAGGCGGTGCTTCTGCTGCTGCGAGAGCTCGTCGTGGCGCGCCTGGGCAGACTCTGGCCGCCACTTGATGGTCGACAGGTTGCGCTGGATGTAGCCGTTGGTGCCCGTGCCGCGCGCAGACGTGAGTCCGATTCCGTTGTAGGACATGGTGGGGAGGAATCAGAGAGGGGAAGGGGAAGGGGAAGGAAAGAGTAGAAAGAAAAAGACTGAGCTGCTCAGATGACAGACAGGATCACTGAGTGAAATAGAAAACAATCGCACAACGAGCGGAGTGAGAATGATATAAGATCACGGTTGTTGTTGAGGGTGGTTGTTGAGGGGGGAAGTGGTAGAGCTACGATTGGAGCTGACCGACGAAAACCGAGTGAATGGCAGTGAGCATCAGTGCTCAATATACTTTGCATCTTACCTGCGTCCCCCATCTGTCTCCTCTTGTGCCACAGCACTCACAGTTACAACGGTCGATTTGGAATCAAACAGTTCAGTCCTCCATTCCATCTTTCAATCCACATCATGTCGGACGACTCGGATTACGACTTTGCGACTGAAATGTCGGGCGCTGCTGGATCCGGATCTGGCACTGCTGGATCTGGCTCTGGGACGAACGCTGGCTCTGGCTCGGGCGGCGGGAACTCGCTGCTGGCTCAGCTCAGGGGGCCAACAAGCAGCCGACCGTCGCCGCGGTCCAGCGCCGCGTCGAGCTCACTGCGCACGAGCACTGCGGCCGTGCCCATGTTTGCAGACGACGACCTGTCGGGCGGTGGCGCAGGCGGTGGCTTTGGCTTTGTCGACGAGTCGGCCAAGTACTACAGGCACGCCAAGAACGTCAAGTCCGTCCCGCCAGAGCAACGGTTTACAATGTCCAACTTCCAGATCGAGCAGCCAGGCGACGCGAGGGCGTTCAGGGCAGCTCCGCCGGGCACAGCCACCCCCGAGGGTCGCGGCAGCCCGACGCCGGGCTTTGGCTCCTCGTCGTCGCTCTCCGCGTCGGGATCTGGCGGTGGTCTGCTCATGGCAGCAGCTTCAATGGCAGCAGCAGCAGGTGGTGGCGGTGGCTCCAGCAAGTCCGGGTTTACGAACGCGCCAGGGATGCGGCCTCGTCCTGGCGGCCTGATGGCGATTGTGCCTGCCACCCCAGAGACCGGCGGAAGCAAGCGACCAAGACACCAGCCGCAGTCCAGTGGCAAGAAGCCCGGCCGTGGACGGGGCGGTGGTGACGACGACGACGACGACGACGAGTTCCAGGTCGACGAAGAACTGCTCGGCGGAGACAGCTCGTCCGGCAACGAGGAGGAAGACGAAGACGACAGCGACGCCGAGTTCCGGCCAAAACGCAAAAAGGCGCATCAAGACTCGGACGACGACGAGGAAGGGTCGGATGCATCCGAACACTCGGACGCGCGCGAGGATGAGGGCGAGGAAGACGATGAAGACGACGACGATCCAGAAGGTGCAGCAACGCTCCGGCGTTTCCGAGCACGTCATCGAGCTGCCAGTGCTGCTGATGGAGGTGACGCAGCTGCGTCTGGCGAGGCCGCGAAGCAAGGTATGGAATGTTTTGTGTTTTTGTCTTGTTGTGAGTTTTGTGCTTTTGTGTTTCGAGTGTGCTCAGCCAAAACTCCTCTGTCGTGCTCAACAGAGGAGGAAAACATGGAGAACGAACAAGCCATCACATTTGCCAAGGACGATGACGAGATAGACTTGGAGTCTGATCGCGATAAACTAAAGTAGGATTTGAAACCAACGCCAACTTTCAGCCTTGAAGCATCCTTGCGTCGTTTCTAACGCATGTGCTTTTGTTGCTGGAAAAACAAAACAGACTTTTGGTCGATGCGTTCACTCCGGAACAATTACATCGCTACGAGTGCTATCGACGTTCTGGCTTTCCGCGAGCAGTTATTCGCAAGGTACGGCCACAACAAATAATTCAATTGCACTAGCAGTGCGGTGCCTTTTGGCTGATTCACTTACTCTGCAACCTCGTCACACAAAACAGGTCATGCAGCAACAGCTCAATTCGGCCGTATCGATTCCTTCTGTGATTGTCATGGCGGGTATCGCCAAGGTGTTTGTGGGTGAGATAATTGAACAAGCACGCGACGTGATGGTAGAACGAGACGAGGGCGACAAAATCCAACCGGCTCACATTCGAGAAGCGTTGCGGCGGCTGCGATCGAAGGGCGTCATTTCCGAGCGAGACCCGCCGAAAGCACGGTTGTTCCGTCGCTAGATACCTTGGATGGGTTGATGTGCAACAATACGTTCAAACAATCATGAAAGGGTTTATTGTTTCCAATTGTTGAACTCTCTTTCAAAGCGGAGCCAGGACGCAATCAGAGAGAAAGCGCTCGCTCCTACGAGCTAGAGTCCTTTTGCTTTTTCTGCTTGGTCTTGGCTGGCTTGCCAGATTGAGTGGCGGCCGCACCTGTGGTCACGGGGTTTGCGCGGCGCGTGCTGGGAAACACCACCACACTGCCACCGGCTGCAGGAAGCAAGGTGCCAGAGACGAGCGGAGAGGAGAAGATGTGCTGCGCAAGGCGTTGGTCGGCGGGTATGCTCAGATGGTTGAGTGCAGCGGTCATTGAACGCGGCAGCACTGGAAGCAAACACAGCGACGCAATTCTAAGTGTCTCCAGGGTCAGATACAGCATCGCCCGCAGTTGCGTCAGTGCTGTCTCGTTGACTGGTTCGTTCTTGAGCGCTCCTTCGCGGATTGTCTTGGCGAGCGTCCATGGCTCAACGATGGTGAAAGCGCGATTGCAGCACTGGATGGAAAAGAGCACAGCGGTGATGCCACGCGCAAACTGGGCATCCGTGTATGCCTCGTGCACCAACGAAGGAAGCTGGTTGAGCTTGTCGTGCAGCTCCTGAGCAATCGGAGGAAGCACTTGAATGGCGTCAGACCGTGTCCAAGCCGTTCCATCCAGTTTTGAGGGAACGAACGCCCACGCGGCCAGGTCATCTGCAGTTTGCGCAGACGATGGTGATGATGACAATGTTGCGGACGGCTGATTCGCGGGCTGCAGCAGAGCACGGGCGAACACGCGCGACAACAGGTTGCCAAACGCCGCAGCAAGCTCGCCATTGAACAGGTCGGTGACACGCGTGTCAGAGTAGTCGCAATCAGAGTCGAGCTGACTGTCACGGAACAAAAAGTATCGCACCGCATCCACACCATGCACCGCGACACGGTCGAATGGATCCACGCCATTGCCTTTGCTCTTGGACATTTTCTGTCCGTTTACAGTCCAGTGGCCGTGTGCAATCACGCGCTTGGGTGGTGCCAGTCCGGCGCCAAGCAAGAACGCGGGCCAATAAATGGCGTGGAACTTGAGAATGTCCTTGCCGATAATGTGGTAGTCCGCTGGCCAAGCTGAAAAGACCTGGCCATCCAACGCGGGGAACTCGGGCTTGGCCCCAGTCTTTTTGACCTCACTCAACTTGTGCACCGGTACTTGCGAAACCGTCAGGTAGTTGGTCAACGCATCGAGCCAGACGTACATGACGTGCGAAGGGTCGTTGGGTGTTGGGATGCCCCATTGCAAGTACTGGGTCAGTCGAGACACTGAGAGATCGTCTGCATCTGACGTCGCTTTCATTTGCCCGACCTCTTGCACCGTCCAGGCGAGTCGATTCTGAGGCGCGACAGTTGCAGGCTGAGAGTCCAGCCATTGCAGCAACTTTTCCTTAAACAGCGGCAGCTTGAACTTGTAATTGGGCTGCTCCACCCACTCTAGCTCGTGGCCTGATTCGAGCGACAGCTTGCACGGCGCGCCGTCGCGCTTTCTTACGCCCGCCACGGTCTGGGCCTCCGGGACGAACGTTTCGTCGGGGACGGAATACCATCCCGCGTAATTCCCGAGATAGATGAGCTGCTCGGAAGCCAACTTGGTCCATACTGCTCTTGCCACCGCCTTGTGTCTCTCCTCGGTGGTTCGCACAAAGTCCGTGTACCCGATATCGCAGAGATCGAAGAGTTCCCGGAACCGTGTCGAGGTGCGATCGCACAATTCCAGTGGTGTGAGCCCTTCTGCAGCCGCTGCCTGTTGGATCTGCATGGCGTGAAGTGTGCGTCAGCATATCCGGGTTGTTGTGTGAGTGCATGAAAACACGGTGTACAGCGACCACCTGGCTTTGCTGAGCAGAAGTGAAACGCGACTCTGTTGTCGGTTACCTTCATGCCGTGCTCGTCGGTACCCGTGCTGAACACTGTCTGGTGACCAAGCATGCGATGCCATCGGTTGACACCATCAGCGAGCAACGCCGAGTACAAGTGGCCAATGTGTGGAACTGTAATCAAACGGCAGCAGTGAGTGCTCGCAAAGTCAACGTTCTGCGATGTCTCTGCGCGCGATTGCATTGGAAGCAGCACAGTGCATCCATTGCCAAAACCACCACCATCGACTCCAATGGGTCGTCTCGCAGGCACTCACCGGCATTCGCGTAGAAGATTGGCGTTGTGATGAGAACCGGTTTCACCTGCGCCGGTCGCGCCCACGCCGGGACTTGCGTGTTGGGATGTGTACTGGAGGTGGTCGTGTGTGAGGATCTTGAGCGCAGGCTCCAGGTGGCACGCGACGGCAGCGACGGCAGCGACGGCAGCGACGGAAGGGGCAACACGCGCTGCAGCATTGATGATGCTTGTAACGCCAATACGCCCGTCATGGATGAATGATGGACTGATGTTCTGTACTAATTTGTAGGTGTATGAAATTGCAATAGTTATTACGGGTGAGGTGCCCGACAAGATGGCAGAGGTGCGATCAACCACTGAATTGAGGTTTGGCTGAGCTGTGCTGGCGTTACTCTCTGAGTGCCTCTGAACACTATGCACGCATGTTGAATCGTTGCGATGATCAAATTCAGTGCAAAGATAAAAACCCTCGCAGCCCAGCGGCGATTGGTGGTTGAGGAATACTCATATGCAATTTGAAAAACAAAAAAATGTACAACAGTCAAGAAAACGAGTCCAGCAAAAAACAAAAGATACAAAGGAAGACGCAGGCAGAGGGCAAACGATAGAGAACAAACTAAAGTACAAAAGAAGCACGTGCAGAGAGAATGCACGCGGGGAGCCAAACAAACAAATGAAATCAATCAAGGAGGGCAGCGATCGATGGTGGAATCAACCAGGATGTTGCGGGGATCAAGCAAGCAAAAAAGTGAGACAATGGTTCGGGGGGCAAGTGTGGTGTGAAGAACACGAGCTTCGAAGCATTGAAACATGGAAATGGACAATGGCGGCATCGACACGAGCATTGGCTGTCCGGGTGGGTGCTCAACAAAAGTCCATGAACTGGCCATGGAGCGCCATATTGTTGATCGGATCCTTCTCAATACTTGGGCGCTCGGGGATTTGCGCCAGTGAGCTTGCAGGTGTTGGGTGTGATCCATCGGTGTATGCGGGCACTGCAGGAACCGAGACTGTTCGTGTCACAGCAATGATGAGTCAGCGCAGCCACCAGCTTGGACGATTCGCCACAACCCCTATGAACACAACTCGACATGCCATGGCAAACACTTACACGCTCGTTTTCGGGAAAAGAGTCCAGGCGAGGGCTGCATGACGAACGGATCAAACTACAAAAGCAGAAAGGCACCAACAGCCAAAGTGTCAGCATATGCAGTGAACAACGCACCAGTCATTGGCGAGAACGCATGCAAGACAAGACATGAACGCCACCAATGGGACTCGTACAAGGAGAAGTTGGAGCCAAAGTTTTCAAAAAAGCCACAAGAGGATGAGTGTGCGATGAAGAAGATAACCCGACACGACGACAACGACAACGACAACGAAACACACAAATGCAAACAAAAAGAAGGCGCACATTAAGAGACAGAATTCCAAGTAAGGCAATAAAACAGCAAAAAAAATTGTGAATGGGAAAAAAAAGCGCAGCGTTCTTTTTTGAATTCCAAAAAAAGAAAAACAAAAAAGCGTTACCTTGAAAATGCCACCGGTTGTCGTTGGAGGGGCAGAAGGAGGGGCCTCGGGAGAACCAGCAGTGGTGGACGTGAGGGGCGTTGGCGGCAAGCTTGGCCGGCGCATCATGGGGGCCGAGCCGGGCGCTGGGAAGAGCGGGAAGCCCGACGGTCCCTGCTGAGTTCGGAATGTCGGCAATGAAGTCGACAGCGACTGTGCCATGCCGCCGCCAATGTCGGCGCCAGTGTGCAGATGGTGAGCGATTGGCATTCCACCAGTGGATTTGGCGCGGTTGAGGGTGCGAGGTGTCGGGAAGACAGGCGCCACGGGAGCAGCCAGCGGCATTGTTGTTGCGGACGAGGACGACACGCCGACGCCAACCGATACAGAGTAGTGGGAAATGTAAGAGTCCATGTCCGAGAGAGCGGTCGGCATGGTCGCAGCGAGTATGTTGGTGGTGGGAGGGGAACAAGCAAAAAAAAAAATGGATCAAAAAAAGCGACAGTGCGTAACAATGAGTAAAAAGTATTGACAGTAGTAATTGAAAAAAGGTGCCGACCAGCAGCAATGAAAGAAATGTATGCTATGAAACAGAAGGAATAATAAAAGAGCGAAAAAAAAAAGTTGGACTGAAGCGAAAATCAAAACAAAAAAGCCGAATCAAAAAGGAAAGAAAACAAAACATCGACACAAAAAGTGCGAAAGAAGGCAAAGAAAAGGGCAAGCCGAGCATGTGGTGCCACGACAATAACCTCCCCTGCGTGTTGCAGTGTGAGGAACGATGACACGAGTGCGAAGGAAACAGCTCTTGGGAAAATGCAATTTTCGGGGGACTGCACGAGAGCATTTTGCTAAACCGCAAGCAAAAAAAATCGATCGAATTTTCAAGATCGATACAAAAAAGAGAACGCCGAGCACGAGACTGTCCAACGAAGTGCACACGACAAAGGCTGTGTCGGAGCGCTCGGTATTGGATGGGCACTCATTGCATTGAGATGTACGAGCGTCATCAACGCTACGAGAGAAGGGGAGCCACTTTGGCAGCCGAGCACGAGAGCGAAAAACTCAAAGACACAAAAACCAACAACAACGCCGCTGAGACGGAAAAGTGTGCGTCATGTCCCTAATGCCACAGGGTTTTTTTTGTTCCGTGTCACACCTCACACTCTCACACCCGCTTCCGCTTCCTTGGTGCACTTGAATCACAATGTACAATATCATCCAAGTGACTAGGCCAAATGTGTGAGCGAACAAACACCCCAAAACAGGTGCTGTTTGTGCTTGTCGAATAATTCGAATTGCTCTTCATCGAAACCAAAAAAACACGGAAACAAATACAATGACGCATTTGGAATTGCTCCCGCGCCACGCAATACTTGCAGTTTGTTGGATTGCAGCGTTGGTAGCTGCTCGCGACGTAAAACCCCGACGAATGAGCAATCGCCCCCAAAACAAAAACTCTCTTCGCTCGGCACTCCCAGCAAGCACAGCAAGCCAAATCCCCACCAAAAGCACGACAGCCACGGAAGATTGCAAATGCATTCACAAGGAGAAAGTATGTGTGTCAAAAAAAAAAGCAGACGATAGCAACAAGCGGTGGAGACACACACACATCAAACAAAAGTGCGCAAGCCACTCGCCGCTTTGCCACCCTCCCATCGCGACCCCCGTCTGCTCCATACAAACTCGATCGATGGCAGAAACAAAGCATGGTGGAATAGCTCACTAAAAGCGAACACTTTGGACAAAATAAATCCACGAAACAGGAAAAAAATGTGTCAGAATTGGATGCTCGCCGTGCAAAAGAATTGCCGATCGAAATCAGCTTCGCTCAAAGCGCGAAAGAACTCGAAACGAAAGGAGCAAACGCAGCCTGATGATGTTTGCTCTTAGTCGATGGCCGAGCAAGCCAGACCAGCAACAACATCAGTGCTCCAAGCAACAAATCGAAATCGTACCAAACAAAACAATGCATTCGACATGATCACAATTTGTTGTTCGAAATAGCTTTCGTTTGTTTTGTTGACATTTTGAAGAAACAGTATAGCTGCACGAAATGCTCTTCGTTGCGATGAGTGCGCATCGGACAGCTGAGACACGTTCGCTCGTCTGCAGTTTCAGCTTGAAAAGCAAAGCCCAGGGCAAAAGGAGCTCCAAAGCCACACAAAACAACACTGCCGATGAAACGTTCTGCTTTTAAAAAAAAAAATGTCGCCGTTCAGCATTTTCCTTGTGTTTGTTTTGTTGTGCTACGCCCACCGACCGGGCGACACAAACCTCAACTCCCGCTCCACCAGGATGACGACTGCACAGAGCCTATGCTCAACCAAGCCCCCTCCTCGCACAACGCAACGGGAGCAAGTAAAAGCCACCTTTGAAAAAGGATACTTGGGATTAAAAAAAACGCATTAGCAAACTTCTCGTTTCATCGCTATTACCTCTTGGTACTGGAGGCTGCCACGGCGGGGACTGGTTGGACTGGTCGGCATGAATGTGTACATGGCTTCGTGGATGGCCTCGGCATTGGTGCTGATGCTGTGCGGGATGGAAATGTTGATTGGCGCGGACGACTTGTACGCTGGCGCTGCTGCTTTGGCTGAAACGCCGACACCGACTGATGACGCCGCCGACGACGCCACCGACGAGGAGGACGCGGACGAGGACGACGGACCACTTATACTGAGTGATCGAAGTGCGTGCGCTGCCGTCATGTCGGCGTTGCGGCGCACCAAGCCTGGGGAGCCGCTGCTCTTGGCGGCCGTTGTCGAGGTCGAGGACGAAGAGGTGGAGCGAATCGGAATATCAACCGGCAGCGACATTTGCCGCGTTGTGTGGCGTCGCTGCTGCTCGCTGCCACCGCGTCCGACGGGGTTTGCTGCGTGGATGGTTGTAGTCGCGGTGCTCATCGTTTTTGGGGTTTTGGGTTGTGGGGTTGTGGGGTTGGGAGAGTGCAAAAAGGGGGTATCAATTCAAAACAATTAAAAAATTAAAAGAGGAAGAACAACAACAACGATACGGTTATTTTTTGGATTTTTAAGTGTGTGTTTTTGGAGTAAGGCGAGAAAAAAGGGGTGAGGTGAAATGTGTGAAGATGAAGAAGAAATGAAGAGTGGGAAATTAAGTGTTTTAGCCTGGCACAACAACAACAACAAAAGCAACCTGTGTCGATCTACTCTACTCGTACATCACAAAAGTCAAATGTTATCGTTGGGATTGTCGTCCTCCGCGTCAGAATCCTGCTCCGGAGGCGCCAAGAGCTGAAGTTGCTCCAGGGCGTTCGCATTAGACGCCTCGCATAGTTCGCGGACTTGCTGCGCTTGTGCGGATTGTAACGAGTGAAGCTGGGCTTTGGCTTGTGCGATTTTCGCAACAACCGCCGTCCGCAGCTGCTTGAGAGCCAGAGGCTTCCATGGAAGGATGGCGCCGACTTGTGGGGGTTGGAGCGAGGGATCGACTGCGTGAACTGTGGTTCGAGGTTTAGTTAGAATCGAGCCACGAGAGAAGGCAAAGTATGACTTTCAATCGTACCAGTGTCCAAAAGCATAAACCGCCGCAACAGCTCGGTTAGCAGCAAGACATTATCATCGAGGCGTCCAGCAAGACGATGCGTCCGTGCTTGCCATCGCTGCAAAGTTTCGTGCGCAACCCGCTTGGTCTCTGCCGTGTAAATCTTTGGTGTTGTTGTTTGCAAGGCGTGCAAATGGTGAGAACAACTGATCCGAGCTGACTTCGAAACTTGATGCAATAGACGTGCACTCACAGACTTGTCCTTCATGCTGGACCAGGCCTTGTCAGCCTTTAGCTCGCCATCGCTCGACTTGCGCCAGTCAGTCTTGATTTGAATGCAAATGTCAAAGCGATCCAAAATGACAGACTCGACATCTGGTTGTACCACATGCAAGCAGACTTGTGAGTGGGGGAGGAAATCAGCATGACCGCTTCAACCTTAATTGCGCGTACCAATGCAAAGGAAGGGCTGCAAATCGCCTCGAGTAAACGCGGCGCTCTGCATGTACTGTTGTTGTTGGGTCGCTGCGGCAGCTAAACGTTGATCAAAGCCCGTCATACTCAAGCACGAGGCCAGCACGGGTGATTGCTGCAACGATGCATACTCGGATGCAAAGTTGTGCGGTGGTGAACAATTTTGGTTGTGAGAAGAAGCCTGGGCTGCATAGAGCAGCTCAGAACTGCTACAACAATTGTTGGAATTAGCCACAGATCCAACATTATTTGTCATGCTTGAAGGTGCTTGAGAATTGGTCAACGTTGCTGTCGCGCCAAGCACGGCAGGACTCCAGCACGAAGCAGAAATGACGGGGCTGTTTGGAGCTTCTCCGGCAACCGCCTCGCAATTCTCTTTGCCTGAGACTTTTGCGAGGAGGGGAAGAGTCTTGCTGCTGTTCGACACGGTCAGTTTGGCAAGCTTTTCCTGAATGTCAAACACGGTCGTCAAGTTGTTCAGGGCTGACGTCAAGCGCTCAATCCAAGCCTCTGCCATCATTTGATTGTGATCACCTGTTGCACACAAAGAGTCATGACGTTGGAACAAACAAAACAGAATGAACCAACGGCGAATAGCTCGGGGCATGTCATACCAAACGCAAACTTTTGCGGCAAAATCAACTTGGAAGGGTCGCGCTGCCCCTTGGTCACGCGTTTATTCAAGAACGATGCGATATCATCTGATAACAGTAATTCAATTGTTGAAGAGTGAGATAACGACATGCTTTAAAGTGCGAACTGGAGTGTGAGGAATGTTTTTGGCGAGGATGAACTTACGCAAGCACAGCTGCAGGTTGTCGAGGGTGCGCTTGGGCAGCTTTTCCTCAAAGTCTATGTCCGCTTGCACTTGTTCGACTAATTCGAGAAATGCAGCGATGGTTTGGTTGGATGAGAGCGCGACGTGAGAAATCCAACCGAAACGCCGACAGAGCAAAAAGCAGCAGCACGTCAGCAAGCAACAACCGCGCCACAGCAAGACGTACGCTGCTCCAAAACATCTTGAACAGTATCAATGCAATCGAACAGCGTCTGTCAAACGTGATGAGCAGTGGTGTCAATGTCGATGAGAAAGCAAGCAAACGGAACGAATTTTGAAACCGTTTCAAAATCGTCACGTCCCCGCCATGAGTGACCTCTTGACGCAGCACTACCCTTCCACCTTCCTCGGAGCGCACCTGAAACTTGATGTTTTCAACTTTGAATCTGCGGCGGGCTTGCACCACCGTCAGCACGAGGTGCAGAAGCACAGTGACGCCCAGTTCCGCCGACATGGTGGAAAAAGGATGACTGCTACGATCCGCTCGCTCGCGCAGATGAATGGATTTGACAGAAGCGAAATGAAAAAAAGAAATAATGTATCTTGTTGCAAAACCACACAATGCAGAGGAAAAACAACAAATTACCACCAAAACAAGCTACACGAACGAAATGAAAAAAAGTCGAAACGCATGACCAACAACAACAACAACGTGCCTCAAAGTACATCAAAGAAGATTGGTTTCAAAATAAAAAAAAGAGTTGGGGAGGGAGGGAAGGGGTTAGACAGCAGTGTCTTTCGAGTTTGGAGCAGTGCCGTTGGATTCAGCTTCATCGTCAGACGAGTTGAAGGCATCCGAGTCGAAAGAGTCTGAATCGCCATCGCCATTCTTGGCTGGCGGTGGCGGACGCTCGTCATCTGACTCGCCAAAGTCAGCAGTGCTGCTGCTGCTTGTGCTGTTACGGCTGCTTCTGCTGCTGTTGCTGCTGCTGCTCGAGTTGGACAGCTTGGATTCTCGCTTGTCCCTGATGTGCAACCAACCAGCAGGCAAACAGCATTACAAAACGGTGAGCACCAAGCACGCTCGATCAGCTCAATTCCCCAACCACCAAGTTGGTGGCAAAAAAACAACAAAAAAATGCGTACCACGTTGATGCTTTATCTGCTTCTTGAGCCCGCAACGCTGCCTCCTCACGAGCTTTTTCGCGTGCCCATAGCGGAAGGAACTTTGTTCGCTCTTCTAGCAACGAAGTGCTGGTATCCATCTTGCGGTTGGCGGTGCCCCAGGAGAACTGCGCGTCGTCAGAGCCATTCGGGCTATCCTCGCTCTTGCTGTACGCCACGGCAGGTTCGCTTGCGCGTCGCTGCAAGATAAGTGAAAAACAGCACAAAGTGAGATATTCTTCGCCCCTATTCCTGCAAACCAACCACAACAAAAGACAAAAGAGAGCGCAGACAACCATTTTTTACCTCGTGCCAATCGGCATTCTTTGTCTTCTTGAGCGTCGCGTTCCGCAAGGTGGCCATCTGCTGCCGGTACTTGGAAAATTCGCCAGACTTGATTGTGCCAAAACTAATGGGCTCTGCCTCCTCGTCTTCGGATTCGGACAGGTCGACAGCCTGCTGGCCTGGCTGGCTGCTGTTGCTGCTGTTGCGCGAGTCGCTGGCCTTCTCTGACTTTCGCTTTTCGAGTTGCTCGCTCGACACGAGTTTTGCGCGGTCGAGAAGCTCAATCAGGACAGTGCCAGTCCGCGGTGCCTTGCCCTTGCCAACAATGAAGGGATGCGTCAACATCTGATCGGTGGTCGGTCGATTGCGGGGGTCCTTCACCAAGCACTTGGCCAGAAAGTCGTGGAAATCGTCAGAATAGGAGCCAGGCTCTTGCAGCTTTGGCGGCGGCTGCATCGGAATGACAAAAAGCGCTCGCATGGGGTGGATGCTGTTGAGCGGCGGCGCCATCTCTGCGAGTTCGATAGCGGTGATGCCGAGGGACCACACGTCGCATCGAGCGTCATACGGCACGCCCTCGACGATTTCGGGAGCCTGAAGTTCAGGTGAGTGAGATGGGAGGACGACAAAGAAACGCAGTTGAGCAAAAGGGGCAATTCCAAGAAGACAAGTTTGATGTGTCCCTTTCCCCCCTCCCCCGTTACCGCGAACATGAACAACACTTTTTCCCCCAGCCAACTCTGGTAACACGCACCATCCAGTAAGGAGTGCCGACGAAAGAATTCTTCTTGGACATGGTCTGTGTCAATTGAGCAGAAATGCCGAAATCGGCCAGCTTGACTTCTGCGCGGTCGTTGAGGAGAACATTGCCGCCTTTGATGTCGCGGTGGATTTTCTTGCTCGAGTGGAGATACTGCAACCCTTTGAGTGTCTCTTGGCACACGTAGGCTATTTGGTCCTCGTTGAACGGCTCCTCCAGCGTCTCGATAATGTCTGCACATGCACCGCCGCCGCAAAACTCCATGGCAATCCAGAGCGAATCGTCCGAGAGGTAGCTGCCGAGGTAGGCAACAATGTTGGGATGCCGGCAGCTCTGCAGCACCATAATCTCACGCTCGAGGTCGGCAATGTTGGCGTCATCGTTCTCCAGGAGCACCTCCTTCAAGGCCACCGTCTCGCCGGTGAGTCGGTTACGGCCACGGTACACTGCACCAAACGCTCCCTCGCCGAGCTGACTGATGATTTCGCAGTGCTCAAACGCAAAGTTCGGTTGAGCAGCCATCGTTGTTTGGGTTTTCAGTTTGCTCTTCAAAGCAACTCTTTCTGTGATGTTCTTGGAGTTGAGCTCTTTTTGTTTATTGCTTGGATGTTGGCTTGTCTGATGAGGATGAACTTGTTGTTTGTGGACGCTCTGCTTGATTTGCCTGTGACTCTGACAATCGTACAAAAAGAAAAAAAAAAAAAAAGTCAGTGGCAACAACATTGAAACGGAAAGAAGCAGTTTCAGGAAGCGCAGCACGACGACAGCAACGAGAAAGTGATGGCAGATGGATGTTGACGCAGTGTGTGTGTAGAATCGATTGAGTTGGGAAGGGGGGTAGGGGGTTCTGTGAGTGAATGGTGGAGCTCACAACTTCAAAAAAAAAAAAAAAAAAAAAAGATGGACGGGAAGAGTCAGCTTGGTTTGCGAGGTAGAGAAGCGGGGGTGGGGGGTTTGGTGTTTGTGGATGGAAGCTGGAATGAGGTGATGATGGTAGTGGTGGAGTGCAAAGTGAAAAGGGAGACGAGCGCGAAAGTGGCAACGAAGCGAAAGGCGAGAAAAACCGCTGGAAAACCAAAAAAAAAAAAAAAAAAAAAAAAAAAAACACCAATGCAATACTCAATAGAAACAAAGTGACTTCACGTTACAGAACTGAAACAAGACTGACATTGAATGAAATGAAAGGCTGGTGGTGCTTGAAGTCAATTTCAGCAATGTACTGTATCAAGATGGTTGCGCGCGTGACGGATGGGGTGCTGGATCACTTTCAGAGCAGTGGATCACTTTCTGCGCATTGGATGACCTCGACATTGATTACTACTGTATTGCTCGTCATGAAACACGATCTATTTCATTGGATTGCTGACTTCTCGATTCGGATGGACAGCTGAATCAGTCCAAAAAAGCTGAACGATTGGAAAACTGGCGGGAATCACCGTCGAGAGCGTGGACGGCGTGCCGATCGAGGTGCACATCCAAGCACCAGTGGCAGTGCAAGATGACATGAACCCGACACTGCAAGACACGCAAGGCGGTGTTGCGACCCGGCTTCGGAGCAGTGCTCTTCTGCAATCCTCAGGAAGCCGTCGAGCCCGGCCGATCAATGCCATCCGCCAAGTCACAGTGTCGCGCGCCAGTGCTCGGAATCGGACAAGGCCGTCTCTACTCCTAGTCATTGCGATGGGTTTGACAGTGGCAAGCGTCGTGCTGGCTGCGATGGATCCAGCGCGAACTTCTGCAATCGCGTTTGGCTTGTTGGCAACCGGCCGTCCGCCAGCCAGTCTGTGGTGGTGTGGTCTACTCGCTATGGCGGTCATGGCATGGGCTGTGATCTTTTGGTTGGCATCGACGACCGTGCATCAAGGTGGGTTTGACATGTACATCCCAAGATTGGTGCTTTGAGTTGTGCGATTTCTCACCTCACTTTCCATCTGCGAACTGCTCGTGTCGACCTGCACAGAGACCATTACCGTTGTCCCAGGGCTTGGGATTGAGCTGACTGTGGTCAAGGGCCTGCGGCGACGCAGCACCACAACCTTTTTGGACGCCGCGCAAGTTCGGGATGTTGTGATCAACGAAGTCATCACAATGCACAGAGTGATATCCGTGCTTGTGGTTCTGGCATCTACGCACGATGCCGCGAGTGGATCGGTGGAGCGCGTCGTGCCAGTGTTTCGCGTGAGTTTTGTGCGACTTTTGGAGAAAGTCGGGGAAATGTGTGTCCCCGCTCCCAGATGCTGTGCCACCACATATGAACTAATTGAGCTGTGCATCTCATGTGTGTTCTTGACACTTGCGTTTATTTTGTTTGTGTTCTTCGGGTGACACGCAGCATCTCCATCCTCGCTTGGCGGAATTGCGTCCCATCGCCAAAGCGCTCCGGAAGTGGTGCGAACTCACATAGGAATCGTCTTCCTGCGCTTTGAAACCTATCTAATGGTGATCGAGCAACCAGTCAAATTGACGAGCGCCTTTCATTTCGCGATTTCATGTCAAAGTGACACTTTGGTCAAAGTCAGCGCTCTTTGCATCGTCTTCGTCGTGCCAATGATTCATCCATGACATTTGTCCTCGAAGACTGTTGGAATTCTGCTGACTGCACTGAGAACGACAACGCAAATTTCGCTCCAAATCGGAATTCAAAATTCCTCTCGGTCCGCTTCTGTGATGACTGCTGTCCAGTTGGTCGTTTTCTTCTTCTTCATGTTCGAGGCGTCCAAATGTCTGGATTCGGGTCGTTCAAGACTTGAAGCGCGAGCAACTGCAAATGCCTATGAACGCTGAAACATCCGATGATTGCAGCAACTCTTGCCCCGTCCTGCTCCTTGAAGCTCCGCCAGCTATTGCATCTGGTTGTCACACCTCTTAATGAACCTATACTCTCTTTTGTTCGAGCCCATCCAGCTCTTGAAATCTCATGACAAGCATCATTGTGGTTTTTGTCGATTTGTGCCGACTCGAGTCATGTTGATTTTGCCTCACTCTGGTGCGCCTACGCTTCCCCCCCCCCCTTTTTTTGATGCTCATTCAAAGCGAAGGAACCTCAACTAGAGCTGCTCCATCTGTGACCGACAATGCCAAACTCAAACCCACAAACAAACCAAAGCAGGGTTTTTTTTTTTTTTTTTTTTTTTTTTTTTTTTTGAGCCCAGTCTTTCAGTTTTTAGTAGGTTTTTTTTTTTCATTTTTTGACATGCAAACCGTGATCACGGCGCGGACTGCGATGCGGACGACGTCGTCTGCGCTTGCATCTGGGCGCCTGCGCTCCGGTGCGATGCCAGCGCATGCTACGTCCACACAGACGCTCTACGCACTTGGTCTGGCGGTCGCAGCGGGGTGCGCGGCCACGGAGACGCGTCGTCACGGCCTGGCCACAGTGGCGCCACCGAACCGCCACCACGCTTGCCCTTCTCCCTCGGCTCCCTCCTCAACGAGGCGGATGGCTCTCCCGCGTCGTCGTCCTCTGTCAACAGACACGCTGCTCGGGCTGCACGCGGACTTGCTGGTCGCACCACCGCGGCGTCTGCTGCACAGCGCATTGTCTGCTTCTGCTGCTGCTGCTGATGCGGGTTCGTCGTCGAACGCTGCTGCGACCATGGAAGACCCAGCTTCGACCGCTTCCTCCTCGTCGTCGTCCTCCTCGTCTTCTTCTTCCGCTGCTTCTGCGGATGCGACTTCTTCTGCATCGCACGTCACATCAACCATCATCATGGGCTCGGCGGACGGTGGGTCTGCACCTGCACCTGCACCTGGAGTACGACCAGGCACGGACGACGTTCCGCTGACTGCAACTGCGTCGCCCGATTTGACCGCGACCTCGTGGACACCCCTCAGCGCCAGTGTCAAGGCTGTTGAACAGCAGGCCGCCATGTCTGCTGATACCATTGTCGAGCATCCCGCACCTCATGCTCATCACGAAGCCACCTCCGTCTCGACCGACTCTACCTCTGCTGCTGCTGCTGCTGCTGCTACTCACCACCATGCGAATGGCGCGACGGCTGCAGCCTCGGCAGCACCGTTGCAACTCAACTTTAACGACCCTACCGCGGCATACATGCTCAAGTCAACCTCCGAGCTGCTGCTGGGCGCCATCATCTTCCGCGTTTGCGGGATTCGGCCCATCGTTGCAAACGCCGAAAAGCTGCTCAACTTGTCCAAGCGCGTCTTTGGCGAAACCCTGACTATGGCGGTGGTCAAGCACACCTTTTTCCGACACTTCTGCGCAGGCGTGAGCGCGGAGGACATTCAGCCCGTCATTCGAAAACTCCGTGCTGCAGGTATTGGTTCGATTCTCGATTACGCCGCCGAGAACGACGTCGACGAGACGGCCGTCCAGCATGGTGCTGAAATCCGTAATGCCGAACGCGAGGGTGTCACGAGCGCCCGTACCTACGATTATGCAGGCGAGCTCGAGTGCGATCGCAACATGCAAACCATGATGCAATGCATCGACACTGCCGCGCTCCAACCCGACGGTGTGTTGGCCATCAAGCTTACAGGTATGGGGTTTTTCCATGTGCGGTGGTTGCGGTTGAAGACGATTGAGAGAGACAAAGCGTGTTGGTTCTAACACACCCTTTTCTTCGCCATTGGCCTTGTTTGTTGGTACAGCCCTTGGCAAGCCCAGCTTGCTGCAAAGCATTTCCGTCATTCTTCTCGCCATCCGCGACATGTGGCACGTCCATTTTCTCACCAAGACACCAACTGGCACGCTCACGTACGACATGTTCCACAGCGGCCTGGTCAAGATGGGAGTCAACATGACGGACGCCGAAATCACCAAGCTTTTCACGCGCTTCGACACGGACAATAGTGGCGATATCGACTATGTCGAGTGGACGTCTGCTTTGCAGCTCGAAGATCTGTATGTTGATTTTGGATGCGAAGAGGGATGATAGTGTTCTATTGGGTTGCTCACGTTTCCTTTCACTTGTCAGGCTCACCCGCAAGTTCTTTGAACGTTCTGGCTACAACATGTCGGCGTTGACTCGGTGAGTTTCTGATGCGAAAAAGCGAAAGAGAACAAAAAATAATGGTGTCGTGTGAATCTTCGTTTCTGACACTCTCGATTCATGTGCTACGCAGCATGGGTCGGCTCCCTCTCCTGTCCGAGGAAGAAACGGGCCTCGCCGACTCGATGGTCAAACGTCTTCGCACGTTGTGCGGATATGCTGCCGAGAAGCGCGTGCGTCTGCTCGTGGACGCCGAGCAGTCCTACCTCCAGCCCTGCATTGATCACTTTGCCATCCAAATGCAGCGCCTGTACAACCGCGAATTCCCCGTCGTTTACAACACGTATCAGTGCTACCTCAAATATTCTCGAGGCAACTTGCTTTACGACCTGGAGCGAGCTCGTCGCGGCCGTACGTTCTAATAAGAGTGTGAACAGGTCTGATGAGAAACAGCACGGTCGTTTGCATGCGCTGATCTGCTCGTTTTTGTTCTCTTGTCCATTCTCCAGAGTACTACTTTGGTGGCAAGCTTGTGCGCGGTGCCTACATGGTGCTTGAGCGACGCCGTGCCCTTGAAAAGGGCTATCCGTCGCCAATTCTCGATACAATTGAGCAGACACATGACAATTACAACTTTTGCATCGAGCAGGTATGGTTTCCATTGACCCGTTGGCTAATTGATTCAGAATGGGTCGAACTCACTCTTTGTTCTCTTGCCCTCCTTTCAGGTGCTTCAAAACATTCACCGTGCCAACGTAATGGTTGCCACTCATAATCAGTATTCGATTCAACAAACAACAGAGCTGATGAGCAAGTGAGTTTTCTGTGCGCAATTTTTGTTGTTTCTAATCTAGCTGTTCTCACTTGGATCAATCCTGCTGTCAGGCTTGGTATTGCTCCCAACAACCCTGCTGTCATGTTTGGACAGCTTCTCGGCATGGCCGATCACCTGACATTTACGCTTGGCTTGGTATGTCCTCTTCGATTTTCCCTTTGCTGTTTGTTTCTTTGTTTTGTCGGCCGCTGCTCACTTGCCCTCCAAATTCTGCCTTCTTGCAGCATGGCTACCGTGCTCTCAAGTATGTACCTTACGGGCCCGTTCGTGAAGTCGTGCCGTACCTTGTTCGACGCGCTCAGGAAAACGCAGACATTATGGGCAACGCGGGCAAAGAGATTTCCATGATGTTGAGTGAAGTGAAGCGCCGAATGCACTTGACACGGTGAAGCGTTTCGCCCTGTGCCTTTTTTTTCTTCGTTTAGTTGTTGTTATTTTGTTGGTCAATCAACCTCTGGGTCAAAAAATGGTGTCATTTTCTAGTTTTCAGTCGTCCAAGCAAAAGCTCAAACAGCCGCTTCGTTTACGCTTGGCGCAAATTGAACATTTCTTGAGCCTTGTCCGAGATCACTTTGGCGATCGCCAGGGATGAGGTTGCACCTGGAGACGGCGCGTTGCGGACGTGCAGCAAATGGGCAGTGCGGGATGCGGCGGGGCCACCTTCTGGCTGAACCGCCGTCTCAAACACAAAATCGTCGACCAGGTTGCCATGGTGGTCCATGGCTTGCGCGCGAATGCCCGCCATCCCTCGTTGCACGTCATTGATGGTCACTTCCGGGACATAGTCTTGCAGGAGCTTGACCTGTGCCGACAAGAATCGGCTTCGGTACATTTCCCCCATGCCAAACTTCCAGTACTTGAGAGCGAGCCGTTGGAAACCACTGGATCGGGCCAAGGCAAAGGTTTATCAGTATTTCGTTGAACTTGACTATTTCAAACGGGGTGCTCCCAGACTTACGGGAACAAGAGCGCAGAAAACATGTCACGGGGATTAATGTCGAAAAACTTGTATCCCTCGCGGGCAAAAGCGAAAACAGCGTTCGGTCCAAGGAGCACATCTCCTTTCATGGTAGGCGTAAAGTGGACCCCGAGGAATGGCAGAGTGGGATCCGGGACCTGACAAGTTGAGCGGACGGTGAGTTTTTGGATCCAGGCCGCTGAATCAGCTCACGACTCGGCATGGCTTTCTCACAGGATAGATCAGTCCGTTGACCAAGTTACGACGGTCGGGCTTGAGTGTGAGATACTCGCCACGAATGGGCTGATGAAGGAGGAAGCACCAAAAAAAAATGATGCCAATAGTGAGCTCATTATTATCAGTGCGCAACAGAGGAAAAATGCGTTGATGTACGCACCACCATGACAGGCTCGGACTGCCCGCCGGCCTTCTGGGCAATTCGATCTGAATTCATGCCTGCGCAAGTGATAATGTAACGGCAACGCACAGCAGGCTGCAAAAGCGCATCGTCATCAAATTGAGATGCAGAGATCGTTGTATGTTCACAGATGAACTGTCTCTGCCTTTGTCGTCCCCAGCTGCCACACTGACCTTGGATTTGAACGAAACCACCACTCCATGCTGATACGCGCGAGGATTGAGCGGATCCACGCTGTCCAGCGAAGTGACCTCGTGGTTGGTCAGGACTCGGTTGCGCTCGTTTGCGGTGAAATCGTCAGCGTACGAGTTGGTCACCTGCAGCCAGTCTACGATGCCGGTAACTGGAGAGTGGATGGCCTGCACGCCCACGCAGTGCGGCTCGATGCGCTTCATTTCGTCCACCCCAATCATGCGGAGATCCGGCACGTTATTTTGCTGGCCACGATCGAACAGCGCCTTCAGGCCTGGGATTTCTTCCTCCGACCTCGCGACGATCAGCTGGTCAGGGGTAGCAAGAGGAAGGCAAACGCGCACAGACCACAACAAAAAACAAGTTCCACACAAAGTCAAACAGTTAGAGTTTGCCCCCCCCCCCAACGCAGATCGACACAGACGATCCAATCCAACAAAACTAGTTTTGTGTGTACCTTGCCACACTTCTTGTAGGGAATGTTCTTCTTGTCGCAGTAGTCGTACGTCAAGCGCAATCCTTCGACGCACAGTTTCGCCTTCAGTGATCCAGGCTTGTAGTAAATTCCAGCATGGATGACGCCGCTATTGTGTCCAGTCTGGTGCGCACCTGCAAAGACGCATCGATTCCACCCACAATCAGCATGAATGACGATGAGCATGGCGGCAATCTGAGATTCAAGTTAAACTCCAATCCAGCCAGATCCGACTCCAACCCGACCCACAGACCCCATGCATGCCACCCAGTCTCTGGGGGGGGGTTGCGCTGCATGCCCCCTGGCATCAGCTTACCAAGGCCGCTCTCCTTCTCAAAGACGGCGATGCGAAGCTGTGGGAGTCGCAGAGAGAGCTCGCGAGCGGTTGCCATTCCCACAATCCCGCCGCCAATCACGCCGACATCAAACTCTTGTGGCTTGCTCGTCGGGGTGCTGGGAGTGATGGCTGATTGCGTCGTCGCGCTCGCGGCCGAGTTGGCGGCAGCTGCAACGCCGTTCAAAGTGGACAAGCGTCGAACAGTTGCAAATCGTAACGCAAGCATTGTTGTTTTGGCGCAAATTTGGACTGATCCATGGTTTCTGAGAAATTGGGAAAAGTGCTGTACGGGGCTTCAATGTTCGTACTGATACTGTACGCTGCATTGACGTTTCGACAAGACAACAACCTTGCACCTCAGGCACGATTCAGTCTTCAACAACCTTTGCTAGTTCGTTCCTCCTTTCCTGTTCGTTTCTCGCTGCCTTTTGAACCAAGGTTGAAGCCAACGCTCTGATTGATGTCTCTTGGTTCAGCTCCAAATGCATTGTTGCGAAAGAGTTGGACAGTGTTTTTGGCTATTCGCGCGCGCTGCACGTTGTTGTGTTTTCTATTGCTCGTCGTTCGTGCCAAACGTTCGTCTTTATGTTGTGACGAGTGATATTGTGGAATGACAGTTAACGTCGCGCTTTGCCGATGCGTGGCGAAGAGAGAAACTAGCAATCTGGGCGACTGTTGATTGATCTCGTTCGGTCTTTTCACAACCTTGCTGAACACAACCACGGTGTACCTTCTTACGTCCGTTGAGTAACCTGCGACAGTCAGTTCATCTTGGGAATGATCTCATCTCGCTTGCTTTGTTGGCTTCCTGTTCTTTTGAGAGCGCCAAAACTGAGATTGTGCAACCCGTAACTTTTCTGCCGCCGCTCAGCTTGAACTGCACCAGTGAACAACACTCTTACTTATCATGTGCAATGGTTTCCAACACTCAGATGTTTCCGACTGCTGGCGATCAGAACGACGACACGCAGACAATCGACCTCGAAGAATTGCGAATCCGCCTCGTGGACCAGAATGCACCGTCAGCAGAGCTCAACGAAGTGATGGAGCTCCTGCAGCTGGCATTCACTGCCGACTCAACTGCTGGGCAACGTGCCTCAATCAGCGACGACGCTCTTGGGTTGATTGTGCAGCTGTTTTTCCAGTTGTTCGACGAGGAGAACGAGCGACTGTTTCGTGTTGTCGGTCGCACTATCGCATTTTGGTTGTACAACAACGAAACGGCCAAACGACGCTTGCGGGAACAGACCTTCACGATGTCGCCAGCAAAAAGTCCACTGACTTTCCTCGCGCATCTGAATGATCGGTTTCAAACTCCACAAGACTCCCAAAACTCCAAGCACCTATCCACCATTGCCTTGATTTTGCAGAACTGGGTCTATCGTGAGCCAGTGGCACAACTTCAGGTGTTTGACTCGGCAGTGTTTGATGCAGTCGTCCGACATTTGCACCATGTCTCCCTCTCCAGGCTGTCCGACATCAAAAAGGAAATGCTGTTTGTTCAGCGAGCATGCCAAGTCTTTGTCGAAATCAACATCGGTGAATGTCTTTCGCAAGCTGTTGAAGATGCCAAACGCTTTGTTAACTTGCTGGCAGAAGTGTTCGAAATCTGCTTCGCAGTGCCTCTAGCTCATGAGCCATGCCTCGAAGCCCTGGACGCAATTATTCAGCTGCATCCCACGAATATGTTCGAGTTGCCAGAGTCGACTGTGTCTCACATTATCATGCTGCTCGGGGGTGTTCCGGACGATCAAGCGCTACTGCAAGGGTTGCTTGACCGAGCCCACCCGCACCGTATCATCGTTTTGCCAACGCGTATTGTGAGTGCTGTTGCTAATTTTGATCTGTGCGAACTCTGAGGTGATGTGTGTGTGTGTCGTTCGCTGTGTTTGCGGTCGCTGTGTCTTGTTGGCCTCAGTATCACACACAATTTCGGATCCATCGAATGCATCAAGCGCGTCAAGAGCTCGAAAATTGTGCGAATACTGTACAATATATTGAAAATTTTACCAGCCAACGATCTTGCGCAATGACTCCAGCAATAGCAACTCAACCCTGCTCAACAGAGGTTGGTACATCGTCCCACCATCAACAATCCTTGACGATGGACATGGTTGGAGCCTATTCCGATGCCACTGCAGACACTGTGGGGCGACGACCACTCATGGATTGCCGGGCTTTCGCTTCGGCAACCAACTGGCCGAGATCGCGAACCTTGCCGTCGGTTCCGGAAGTGCGCATCCCTTGCAAGGTGAGAACGCAATCGGCAAAGGACGGTCGGGCAGTCGCCTCCCATGTCCAGCACTTTTGCATGAGCGAGTACGCATCCTCGGGACAGTTGGCGGGTTGTGGAAGACGCTCGCCCTTCTCGAGGTCTGCCAGAATGTCGACAATCTTCCTGTCCCCGTATGGCGAGATGCCGCACGTGTACACCTCGTAGCAAACAATGCCAAAAGACCACACGTCCGAAGCGCTTGAAAAGAAGCGGAAATGAAGGCTTTCAGGTGCCATCCACTGTCATGCGAAAGAACAACACGAGCAACCAGTGAGTATGTGTGGATGATTGAATTTACTCCCCCCCCCACGCACAATCTGCTGTCTTGGGATATGGCTCACCTTTGCAGGCAGCTTGCCTTTCGTCTGCACCTTGTAGTAGTCCTTTTCTTCAGCCAGGGCGCGAGACAGGCCAAAATCGGCAATCTTGACGCAAAGACCATCGCCAACCAGACAGTTGCGCGCAGCGAGATCGCGGTGCACGTACCGAATGGACGAGAGGTAGGCCATGCCGGACGCAATCTGGAATAGCACTGTCGTGTACTCGAGCTGACTCCATTCAATGCCAGTCGAAACGGAACGATGCAAGAGTGTTCGGAGGTCGCCGTAGGGCATGAACTCGAGAAGAATCATGTTTGGCTCTGCCTCGAGCAGCACAGCCAAAACGCGCACAATGTTGGGGTGCTTGAACGACGAGACGAGCTGCGCCTCCGATACAAAGTCGCGACGCGACTTTTCATCTGCGTCGGTTTTCAGCAGCTTGATGGCCATTGGCACAATGCTGAGACCAGAGTACACTTCGCGTGCGGATGCAGGAAGTTGGCCAATGGGCACAGTCGCTTTGAAGACTTGGCCAAACTCGCCCTGGCCGAGCTGAGACTCCATGGAGATGCTTGTGCGCAACGAGTCGACGACGGGGGTGAACTCTTCGTAGAAGGTGACGTAGGTGCTGTCTCCACGGCGCTCCAGGTCCACATAGTGAGACTCTGGACTGGCGGTCTTTTTGCCTTTGCCAGCGTTGTCGTAGTGGTTGTAGTCGCTGTTGCTACCTTTGCTCACTGTCGGTATCTCCATAACGAACGAGGCGTGCTCGTTTGCCGGTCCGGGAGCAATCGATGCTCGTCCTTTCGAACTCTTCAGCTGCCGCCGACGTCGAACGAGCAAAATGGCGACAACTAACACGACCAGGAAGCAGCCACCGCCAACACCTCCGGCGATCGCAGGTACGGAGCTTGCGGCGCCCGTGTTGCTTTGCTGACCGGCAAGGGCGGCTACAGAGGCGGCGGAAACGGATGCAACCGAAGCGGATGCCACGGAGGCAGCTACTGATGCACCAGAGGCTGATTCAATGGAGGCAACCAAAGCACTAGAGACGGATTCAAGGGAAACAACGGAAGCGGACTCGACAGACGCGACCGACTGGGATACAAGCGCTGCAGACATGACCGCCGCCGAAGAAATGGAGACAGCCTGCGCTTGCGATGCAGATGCCTGAGACTCTGACGCTTGAGCAACAGAGGACGCATACTCTTGCGATGCAGATGCTTGCGACGCCGCAAGACGAGATGCGGACGCTGCGGCGGATGCTTGCGACGCAGCCTGGGCAGATGCGGCCGCTTGGGACACTGCAGATGCTGCAGATGCTGCTGAGGTTGCAAATACAGACGAAGCACTTGCCTGCGATGCAACAGTCGCTTGCGATGCGCGCTCTGCAAGCGATGTCGCGACAGAGGCCGATGCAGCGGATGCCTGGAAACCAGCACAGGTTCCAACGGAAGCGCTCATGTTGCAAGTCACACACGGGCTCGGGGACACTTCGTTGCACAGATTGTCTGATTCTTGGAAGACAAGCGGGCTGGTGGTCGAGTAGGCAATGTTTCCAGCTGGGTTGCCATCAAATTTGCTCGAGGTAATCGAGACGTTTGTGGGTGCTTGAATGAGAATGCTCGAGCATGCAGTAGGTGAGCAAGTATTGTTCTGGAACGTCACGCCGTTCAGATTCAAGTTAATCTGCCGAATGGTTGACCCTATGAAGATGGCAGGGGAGGGCTAAAGGAGGATTTGCACATACGTGAGTCAGTATGTTCTGCCATCGGCCACACTACCACCTCCCCCAATACCTTACCGTCGGGGTTGAAAGGCCATAGTTTGACTGGAAGGCAGAGTTACGAATTATTGCGCTGAAAGCGGGTCCAGTCGTTCCGGGGGAGACGACTTGAAGGGCTTGGAAATTGTTGGTGAAATTCGAGTTGGCAATTTCGAGGGGCGTGTCGATAACGCGAATCGCAGAGTTGGCATTGCCCCCAAAGACACTGTCAAAGACACCAAGATAGGTTGCAGAGTCAACCGCCACGGCGGGACCGTTTCCACCATTGGACGTAAATCGGCATCGCGTCAGGGTCAGATTGTATTGCGCGGAAACCGAAATGGCGCCCGAACAACCTGGGCCCGTGGAGGTGAAACCAGAAAATGCAACGTTGATCAACTGGATGGCTATGGGGCCAGAGCCAGCACTAAGCTTTAAGCATTTCGATGAGCCTGACTGGAAGGCGAATGGCTGGGCTGTGACGGCCTCGATGATGAGTGATCGAGAAAGAACCTCCCAGCTTGGGTCGATGGTGATACTGGGAAACATTGTGCTGTTGACACAAATACGGGGAATGCTGGGATTACTCAATTGACTGGTGAATAGCGGCGCGGTCGTGACGATGGGCCCGCACGGTGGTTGCGCGAACGAAGGGACGATGGCGACCGCGGAAAACAACGCCCAACACAACACAAACAAAGCGCCAGCGCTTGTCAAAGGATGCCTGCTCATTGTCGGAATGCCAAAGTTGGGATTTGTTGCACGTCTGTGCTTGCTTTTTGTTTTTGTTCAGTGAAAGATGGTAGGTCAAGGGGTCGTTGTATCGATAACAAACGACGCGAACAAAAGGCGGTTTTTGTGTTGTTTGTTGGGGTTTGTTTTTTGACTTTTAACGGTGGGAAAACAACAAATCAAAAAAAAAAAAATGACTGGGCTTTCGCATTGTTGCGACGTGTGGCTTTTATAGGGCGGATTGACGTGGATGGTAAAATAGAACACTGAGCGCTTTCAAGACAATAGCACCGGAGGAGAGGTTGTTGGACAGCGAGCCAGGCAGGAAGAGCGGACGAGAAAGCAGCAGTTCAAACCGATGCGAAACTCAAACCCATCATTCTGTCACCGCGTACGCGCTAGCGAGCACACTGTCTCCACTCCTGTCGCTCATAGAATTCGCTGTGGACGCAGGAGGTGATTGTCTGGAGGCGGAGGCGAGTCCAGCAGCGAGCCCGAGTGAACACAGGCATGTGGCAACCAAGTGTGAAAAACGGTCAAAATGATCTTTTCAATGCGAATTTAAAACCGCCCAAATAGTGTTCTTTTGACCTAAAATCAAAATTAAAGCTAAAAATAACATACGAAAAAATAAAATCAATAAAATAGCAAGAGGCATACTCGACAAAAGAACAATGCTGCACCATGGCGAATAGAGAACACTGTTCGTTGCGAGGCAAAACCAAAAACCATTCCTCTCCCACAAAACCACAAGACCACAAAGCCCCCAAAACGACAGGACGACAGCTTCCAAAGGGTTGATGAGGATGTATTGGTCACTGTCCATCAGTGCAAGCTGAGAAGGAGGAAGCAAAGGACAGAGACAGCGAGGAGGCGTGTGTCGAAATCAAAAAAGGGAGCGAGTGGCTAAATTTGGTGTTGAGCTTCCCAAACACAGCCATTCAATGCGAAAACCGGTTCCAAAAGCGGCTTTTGTGCCTTGTTTTGGTGATTTGGACGGATACCCGAGTGAGAATTGCTGTTTTCCTTCCAACCAAAAAAAAAAAAAGAAGACTTGTCGAATTGTTGGAAATGGCAAGATGACCATCGCGTAGCGCACATGCAACACTTGATTTTTTTTTTTTTTTTTTTGTTTGTTTTGTTTTGTTTTGTTTTGTTTTTGTTTGTTTGTTTGTTTTTTTTTTTTGTTTGTTTGTTTGTTTGTTTGTTTGAACGGGAGTTTGTTTGATACACAAACAAACGAAATGGGGACTGTTAGAGAGAACCCTCCTTCTACCGGACAGAAACTGGTGACCATCCTGCATCTGGCTCTCTTCATATTCTTGTTCAACATTATTAATATAGACGATGTGCAAAAAATGGAGGCGGTCGGAGCAATATGAAATTTTGACTTTGCATTGACCTTTGGCTGGGCGCGAAAAATCGTGTCCGGTAGATGGAGGGACAACCTCCGCAACACTCCCGGCACCTTCCAGCCCGTCTCCGACACCGGACATGCAGCGAAGATGCAAAGAAAACCGATCTTGTCCGCGTTGGTGGATGATAGGGTCATGTTGTGGGTACTTATGGCCGGGAGCGTGCGCGGGTTCGAATCGGGACAAAGAATTATCGTCGTTTAATCAACCCGACAACAATAACATACATAAAATTGCACATAAAGTCATACATTTAACACATTTAGTTCGAATTGGAGAGGTCAGATAGCGCGAGTCGCTTCCGGCGATCGGTTTTCGGCGTGGACGACACATTTCCCTCAGTTGACACAAGCTGCATCGCCGCCATGTCATTTGTCAGCCAGCTGCTCACGCCAATTGTGTTGGCACGACTGAGTGTCACACCTGGAGACAAAATGAGCCGCGATGAGCTGCGAGTAGCAAGACGGGGCTCCTTCAGCCGCTCGAGAGATCTTGACGACAGTGAATAGGTCACATTCTCGTCCGACCCGCCACTCTGGGCTGTTTCAAATGATGGAGCGGCCTCGTCGTCAGAGTCTCTTTCATAGATTCTCTTCCTGGAGCGCGCTGGAGCGGCAGAAGTCACCTGCATTGGCGACGGCGGAATGCCGTCCTCTTCGCATTCGTCGTCAGAGTCGTCCTGCTCAACCGCCATCGTCGCAACCGATTGAAAAGCCGGTGCCGCAGCTGCTGCTTTCGCGGCGGCAAACGCGCGGGCGTGTCGAATGTCGGGGCGCTTGGGTTTGGCGGCGGCCATTTGTTTCACGGTGGCAGCGTTGTCCCGTCGGCAGCCACCGTGAACAGGCCGGTAATGTGTCTGCCCATGGACTTTGTCCGCCCGGATGCACTAGACACAGTCTTCTGGCTTGTTGCGGCAACCACTTTGTCCTGTTTCTTGGGGGCCGAAATTTCCGACTCGTCAAAGTTGAAAATCCGCCTAGGCTCGGCCCACAGCTTCCCTCCAGACTTGTCGCAAAGCTCCTGCAGGCGCTCAAAGAAGCTTCTGAGGGTTTCCTCGTTCCTCGCGGCCGTACGAATGGTTTCGATCGAGTGTGCAGTGATCCAGCGGAGTTCGTCGGAAAACTCGGCGAAAAAACCGCTCCAAAAACGACTCGCTCGGGCCGTTGGGACCGAATTTGCGGCGAGGCTTTCCATCTGGTCGTGGAGCTTGAGACATGCGCATGAAGAGTTCGATTGTCTCGGGTCTGGGAGGGCAACG